TTCCCCCCAGACTCTCTGTTAGGACTTCTGGCTCCCCCCCCCCACTTTCCTTGGGCCTAGTAGAAGTTCACATTTTACTACAATTATTTTAAAACCCTTGACTTTCAAGTGTTACAGTGAAAACAGTCCTTATTCTAGACTACACATTTCAACAAGTTTTTAAAAAAAGTTTTATAAGCATATCTGCTATAACAAGGATTGAGATGTTAGCCACAACCCAAAGACCAATGTGATTGTATTCCATACAACTCTAGACTGTATTCCTTACTTTTTTAAAAAAAATGAACAAAAACTAACCAGACATAAGCTGGACACAATCAAAACTGGTCTCTGGAAAAGAGCCAGTGTAGTACAGCAGTTAGAGTGTTGGACTAGGATCTGGGAAACTCAGGTTTGACTTGCCACTCTGCCATGCTGTAGCAGGCTGGATGACCCTGGGCAAGTCTTACACTCTTGAATGTTGTAAGCCACTTTTGATCCCCACTGGGGGAAAAGTGGGGTATAAATGAAGCAAATAAATAAATCTAATTGAGGAATAAAAGCTTAAAAGCAACATGGGTCTGAGGCTGTGTTCATTTAGGCCATGCACTGCACAGTGAACAGTGTGTTTTCCATAGGATTGCCAAACTCCAGGTGGGACCTGGAGATCTCCCAGAATTACAACCAATCTCCACATGACAGAGATCAGTTGTCCTGGAGGAAATGGCTGCACTGGAGGGTGAGCTCTATGGCAATATAGCCTGAGGAGGTCCCTCTCTTTCCTAAATGCTGGCATCCTGAGGCACCATTCCCCAAATCTCCAGGTTATCTCCCTTCCCTGAGTTGGCAACCCTAATTTCCCACTGTCAGCCATAGTTATAATTGTATCCTACATATTCAATAATATCTAGTTTCATTATTCGTGGTGTGAATGTCAGAAATCCTTTTTACTGGTACTTTTCGAGATAAAAACACCAGAGACGTTCCAGAGAGCAACTTCGATTGTGTCCATCATTGTCGATTCTTATGCTTAATTTATAAGAAGAATAAGCCAACACAGACTCCTGTGACACCATACAAGCCAACAGACACATTATGGTGTGCGTTTTCATAGACTGGGGTCCATTTTGCCAGATGACAAGAAGCCTGTTTTTCTTAAAAGACTGTAGGATAGGTTGAAAGACTTCTGATAATTAGAAGAGGAATGGATTCTTCAGAAGCTTCAGAAGAAAGGAAGCTAAATGAAAGACTCAAAAGCTCAAGAGATGAGCCTATGGATACACATCAGTGTGTGTTAGATCAAACCATACTGTCTCTATGGAAAAACATCAGAATCCCGCAGTCACACAGAGGCCCCCAAATATCTCTTTTTGTTCTCAGTGAAAGCAAAATTGTGTGCTTCTATCCTTCAGCTTTCCATGAAGTATGCAACTGGTTCACCTTCACCTAGATTTTAAAATTGCCTCTTCATTATCCTGCTTTGTTTGATAACTTCATCAAACATCAAAAATCTCATCTTTATTTGGTTTCAGTAAGGATTACTAGAATAAGCCTTCATAATTAACTGTATCTATTCTCCCGCTCTACGTCCTCCCTCCTCTCTGCCTTCAAATTCCAATTATTACAGATCCCACGTTTTGATCTCTCTTCATTATATTTTCTTTGGACCGAGTTTGCAATTAGCAGCTTGATAAAAGCCCAATAGAGTTTGTTACAAAAATTATATTTTTAAAAATAACTTGTTTATTATTCTTAAAGCCAAAAGGAGATGGGGGGGATCACAACTGCACAAAAAATAGAAACAGCATTCTTTGTTTTTGCTGAATGGTTTCATTATCATAGAAAGAATATGAAATATCAGCTCGCTGTCTTTTACCCAGGACAGGGAACAGCTATCAGATTAGAATATTTGAAAGATAGAAACCAAGGAATGAAATTGTTTCAAGAAAAGTTGTGGTGCAGAAGGATATGTCTTTAAAATGTATGATTATAAAACTGCAAATTGGTTCATGTTACAGCTCTAATCATCATATTGTGATGGGACAATTGTATAAATCGCTTTCTGCTAGCTGCATAAAGGTCGTAATACCCACATGCCTCATTTTGAGTCTGAATTGATGTACTAACCAGATAGACAGAAATTTCTATATGTAAGGCAGTATCTTAAATTACATGGACTTACCTCTGGGAAGACAATCCTTTCAGCTTCTTGTGTTCTGCAACTGTATCCTGACATGATAGCAAATAGACTATAAAGAGAATCATAGGAGGGAAAATCTCATTCAGCCTGAACCACATTTTCTTTTTAATGAAAACAAATGTTTTTAATTTTTGGCTTGGAAATCCTCTGGTTTCCCTTTAGGGAGTGAGTTGTCTCTAAAAAGAAAAAGAAAAAAAGTATATTGTGCCCTGAGTGCTCCAACAGCATTGTCAATCATTGACAAAAAGGGCCAGGCTGTGCTCTGAAAGACACAACCCTTTTGGAAGCCAATTCCCAAGTATTGGGCAACCAGAAATTTTTAAACAAGCATTTGCTTATGTGCTGAAGTTTGCTAAGTGTTACTAATACAACCAAACCAAAATTATCTGCATAGTTATTAGGCATAAGGGTTAGAGGGGGGGAAACTTCTGCTTGGTAAACAAACTATGATACATGGTTATCATGTATGTATGATAACCATGTATATTTTATATTAGGGTTTTTTAAATTGTAGAGTATTTAGGGACTCATTGGTGCATAAAGGTGGCACATAAATATATTTAAATAAACGAAAAATGAGAACTCAGGATTATGTAGTTGACAGTTGTTATTACTGTACTTGTCTTGAGATACTAAGGAGGCCCTGAGAAAACTATCTGGAGAAAAGCTAAACACTACTGCTTTCTTCTGTACCATGATGCAAGAGACTGTGTTGTTACTATTTTCACCTCTCCTTTTACTAATGTGTCAGATTAACACATAGGGCTTTGCTAGAGGTCAGAGCTGTATTTAATTGATAGGCATTGTAATAACCGATACTTCCCGTTTAGAAAAACTGGATGTAAATAAGATAGAAATGAATTATTTTGTGTATATTGTGTCGCATAAAATATTAGTCCATACAATTTGTCAATCCCTTGAGGCCCTGTGCCATCACCACTTCCTCCACATTAAAAAACAGTGTGCCGTATCCTGTGAACAATATCAGATTTGTGTAAATACAGCCAGCCAAGGGTTCTTGTTGGGGGGGGGGGAATGGTCCAGATCTCAACTTGGATCCATAATCTTCTCTTGGTTGGAAAGCCAAGACCTGATTAATGATCTGCCTCAGTTGTTGTACACACAAAGGGTATTTTGCACAGCTTAACCTGACCTTACAAAGGGTAGATAGAGATAAGAAAGGTTTACAGGGGATGGATATCATTTACCACACATTTGCACCAAACAATAATACAGTCAAGTGGTTTACTATGCATAACTTTGCAATGTAGCAAACATCGAAGAACACAGTGTATGGAAACCAAAATTGCAAAATGCTGATAAATTATCACACTGTAAACAATTTGTGGATATTTTAAATTGATACCATCAAAATAAGAGTCCAAATGACATGTATGTATACACGATTTTCATATGCATATATTTACCAGTTGTTTTCACAACTATTTTTATATGCACAACAGGAATCTGGTATTCATCCTTTTTTGATACGTTTTCTTCATCAGATGAATGCAAAGTCAAAGGAGGATGAATTGCCTGTTGTTGTTGTTGTTGTTGTTATTATTATTATTATTATTATTGTTATTGTTATTGTTATTATTACACTGATGCTAAATTAAATTATTCATTTCCAGAAGTTAAAGTCTTCACAGCTGGAATGCCTGCCTGCATTTGCTCTTAAAATAACTAGTCCGTTTGCATTCCTCTGATGAAGAAAGCTATCAAAACAGGATGAATACCAGATTTCTGTTGTGCCTGTGAAAATAGTTGTGAAAACTATGTGCATGTGAAAAGAGCTGGTGAAAATAATATATGTGGAAATATACATACCATTTGTAAAATGAGCATATATATTACTTGTAATTATATATCATATTTCTTGTTCTCTCATTTTGATAGTATGAATTTTATCCTTGTATTATACCATTTGTTACAGTTGTCTGTTTTTACCTGGTAATTTCTAAAGACAAATGCCAGGACTCAAACCTATGTTGATGCCAGAACTCTGTCCAGTTTCATCTCGGATGAGTTGGGAGTTGACTGTAATAAATCAGTATCATAAGGTCCTTTATTACTATATCACAGTATTTCAGTCTCAATCTTCACATTCAAAATAGGTCCCAGAACCAAGTCTTGATAATGCCTGGCTCAAATTGATTTGAATTTCTTAAAATGCCAGTTGGTTGGAGCTGGTGATCATTTCACAAACATACAGAAGACCTATGACAGTCCATATGACACAAGATCAATCTTTACCAGGCCCAGGCCAGTTTGGGGTAGTGTTTAAGAGCAGTGGAATCTAATCTGGAGAACTGGGTTTGATTCCCCACTCCTTCACATGAAGCCTGCAGGGTGACCTTGGGCCAGTCACAGTTCTCTCAGAACTCACTCAGCCTCACCTACCTCATAAGGTGCCTGTTGGGGGGGAAAGGAAGGGTGTGTGATTGTAAGCCACTTTGAGACTCCTTAAAGTAGAGAAAATCAGGGCATAAAAACTTCTCCTCCTCCTCCTCCTCCTAAGTGACATTGCCTACAGACAACAACTGCTCAAATGGTCAGATAGTCACATAGAAGAGTTTTGCAAAATGTTATATTGAATGTTACTGATGGGAAAATCTTACTTAGGGAAAAACACAAAAACAAACTGTGCACAGTACAGGTCCCTAAAGGAAATGGCAATTCATTTTCCACCATTGCCTGTCTCAATAAAATAGTTTCCAGCATCTAAGACACAGTGAGTTATTGCTTAGCTCATAATGGCTGTCATGTTTACCTACTCAGTCACTGCATCACTGAGATCTAAATCTTTGCTTTTCAAGGCTATTTGAGAGGAGAAAGAGTCAGCTTAAAATATACAACTGTCTTTTAATTCTATATGGTGCATGAAACCAGCCATTAAGTATGTCTCAAGCCCAAAGTCCAATCGACCTTTAATGTAAATGGCTGCTTTGCACAGTTAGAGGCCTGCATTCCCCACATCTAGAAATATTATAGAAGCATTATATCTATTTTCCACCCCTTGATAGCAGCATCAGAAACATACCATATGTGATTAAAGTTATTTGTGGATCTTCTTCTAGAAATAAGGCTGGGCACTGTCTTGTGCAGTCAAGCACATCTGCAATTTCAGAATGATGGGTAGGTCATTTTAGTGTATGTGCTGCGGGGAATAGGAGTGGGTTACAGAGTTTTAAGCAGCAGCATGAATTACAGGTGCAGTAAAATAAGTCTTGTATTATATTATGGCCCATATTGAAAATGACAGCTAAAACTTAAACTTCCAAAATTAGGAACTGAACTTGCCTGAAATGCATGTTGGATCCTTGTTTAGTAGGCTCTTGAGCTGGCTCAGTGACCTCCAAGTTCACTAACACATTGGTTACTTGACACTGTTTGCTGCACTAGCTCCAAAAGAGTAAGGTAAAGAATCCATACATGGGCACAAGTCACAGACATGGCTCATAAGTACGGCATATCATAAGACACGGTTCTCAGGGGATTAATATTGAGATGCAGCACAATAGCAAGTGGGGGTGATGCCGGTTCTGTGGTAGGTGATGTTTCACAGTACAAAAACAAACAACAATCCTCTTAGTACAACTTTTTATTAGTGGTATGTACATGTGCCACAATTCACTGAAAGAAATAATATGGCAAAGACCCAAAGAAGTATAAGTTGGAAGGAACAAAATGTCACAAGGACTATGACTGGAAAGGAGGGCAGATGCTTGATTTGACCAGCAGTATCTTGCTGGAAACTCATGTATTCAAATTGCCTGATCCTGAATCTCAGATACTTTCCCTGTCATGCTTAAGCCTGGGCCATTTCTTCATTGTGATATGGAATGTCAAAGTGGGTAAGATAAACATTCCTTTTCAGTGGACCAATATGTAGGCCTCTTAACATGAATGTGTGAATAAATACCAGTGGTCATTTATGTATGTTCATATCTACTCTTAAGGATATTTGATTCACATAGTCTATAACTGAATTGTAAAATGTCAAAACTTCAGGATAACCATTCTCAAAGGTCGTGTGAGAAAGTAGTTTTAGCATTTGCTGCAGGCATTGTTCTCCAAACAAATGCATTTTTTTTCTGGGATCAAGCTTATCTGGCTGACAGCTATAAAACAGGGGCTTTCATACACCCTTTGCAGAACTATTCTTCAGTCTAATGGCTAGCTAGCAGCTAAGCCATTTTGAAGCAGATGCTTTGAATGGCATGCTCAAGACATTACAGAAGAGGCTCTGGGCACTTGCATTCACTAGTTCAGGAAGCTATAAACAAGCTTGAAGCCACCCATCCTACTGCTATTAAGAGGTGCTAATAGCTAGTCCATTGCTACCTTGGGCCAGTGCAAGGTCACTGTGTGTGTTGCTGCCCAGAAAAAGCACATGCTCTTGGTATATTTGAGAGAGATCTTTTGGCTAGATGGACAAACTCCAGGAAAAGTAGCAGGAGAAACTAACAGCTCCCTGTTGAAGCTTACCCGCATCTACAATTTTATTAGATTTCTTTCCAATCTAGAACTTTATTTCATCATTATCTGAGAAACCAATGATATAATAAGTCTCAAAGGACAGTTAATGCTGTGCGTGAAGGTCCACTGTTTTATGCTGGGCCACAATGTTTTAGTCTTTTACCGAACAAAATTTCATAGTACTCTGTAAACGCTGGAGGAGCTCTGCTTTTAACCTCTTTTGAAGTTCAGGCCTAGGACACATCTCAGAGTAATGTCATCTTCAGGTAACTGCTCCACCTGTGAAACATGTGCTATATGTGGCATTGATGGGATAGCTTCCATTGGCTTGTAGAAGAGTACAGTCTTTGAGACAGGAATATTTTTAGTTCCATGAGTGTTGAGTATTCTGCATTTGAATTATGTAATTAGAAGACTTATATAGAGTCCTCTTGTAATAAAACAGAAGATTAGCTTTCTGTGTAAACAAATTTTGTCCCATTCTTTGCTGTTCTCAGTTCCAGTTGAGTAGCTTTTGATGGCTCTTGTATGAATACAATCTTGTCTTCCTTAATCTTCTGCTTAAATTGCATGATTTTTTCTTCTTTTCATTGACCATCCATTATTGCATTGGATT